ATGGTCTTCTTCAAGACCTTGGATGGGAAAACCTTGAAACACAGCGCCAAATTCATCAGGCTATTATGGTCTATAAGTCGATAAATGGTTTGGCTCCTGAATATCTTCGTTCAAAATTTGTTGATCGCAGTTGTGTTTCGGGTTATTCTCTTAGGGACACTGTTGGCAAACTTGCTGTTCCTTTTCCTCGTACTAACTACCTAAGAAACTCCTTTAGTTATAGTGGTGCAGTAACATGGAACAGCCTTCCTGTTGAGTTGAGGCAAGCTAATTCTTTAAATTCGTTTCGATCTGGCTGTAATAAATTTCTCTCTTCTCGTTCGTAATACCTAATTAATGCACGGCACTCATGTAAAGCAGGTTTTCTTTTGTCATTTCTTAGTATGAATTTATATATTGTGTTATTTATATTGTAAGTAGTGTGTTATTAGTTTTATGCATAATTTTGTAGATTTATTTATATATATAGCTATGTGTAATCTTAATCCTGATGAGTACACCGTGGATAAATAAAGTTACCTTACCTTACCTTACCTTACCTTTATGTTTCTACATCTTTGGGCTGGTAATGGTGTTGAAACTTCTCGTGTAGTACTAGTAGTGTATTAACAAAAGATTTTAATTCCGTTACAAGCTCATGCACTTTTAGAATTTTTCTTGAAGCCAACTTTCTCACATATAATCCGAGAGCACAATTCCGAAAGATTGTTTTCTTTGTGATAGCTTTTTGGGATGAAACATGAACAATTTTACTAAAATTGCCAAATTGCTGTTTAATTAAAAACAACATTTACAAAATCTGCAATATTGTATTAAATTGTATTATAATATTGAGTTTAATAATTCGCAATTTTGTTTGATCGACATGTTTACGTGCAAGCGAATATTTTTAGAAACCAATTAATTATGTTATGACTGGGGCGTGTAGTCATGAAAGGCGGGCTTTCCTGCAGGCCCTTAATCCTTCCCCCGGAGCCCGCCAAAATTTTGCCCGCTGCAAATCAGGCCCCCCATAAATTTGAGGGCCTGCCACGCAGGCTATACACTGCATGACTTGTTATAACAGTTTTAGTTTAATTGTTTGCCTTGTGAAGTTTGAATTGTAGTTTCGTTCATGTATCCAGCCTAAAATCTCTCCCGTCCCCCAAACAATATTGTTGAATTACGTTCATATAATGTGGATAAGAAAATAGTAACATTGGGTGGGTGACAGGGGAGTGGGGAAAGGGGGGGGGATGGGACAAAAACCTAAAGAAGTTGGTTGAATGCATTTTCCTAAAATCTCGATCTATTTTGTTAACAGTTTTGTCCACGCTTCAGCTCTAGCAAGAGAGGTGACTTTTCTCATCTAAACACGAGGTGAAAACCATGAGCCGTTCTCGTATAGGGCTACAGCTTCATATAGGAGGACTCTTTTATACACCCTCCGAGATGAGTTTTGAATGAGATGTTTCAGATGTACAATAAAACTTTATAATTACTATATGTATTTTTAGCTTCAGCAGATATCCGTTGGCATAAAGTATCACGTTTTCAGAAAAAGTATACAATGAAGTTTCATCAGAATATTGCAGATTATACTGTTAGCGCATCACAGGACAGTGTGACAGCATCTCAGGTATGCTTTTCTTTAATATTCTATAATACAAATCTGAGTTCAATCTGCCTTTTCGTTGGTCGAGAGTTGCACTGATGGCGCAATTTTCAAAACGTAATATCTCAAAAGCATCACGTACATATATGACTGGTACAAGGCAGCATTCCATTCGGATACGGGGTTGCGACACTGCTGATCGGCCCAGTTGAATCGACGTGTTTACGGGGAGAGAATATCTTAGAATGTACAAAGGACGTGAGGGGCGTTACGTGAATGGGAGGGGGGGGGGTTGGTTAGTGTTGCCAACACAAGGCCAGCGACTGGGGACTCCGATTACCGGGAGAGAATTGCCCAAGCAGATGGGGCAGGAATCATATTCCACGCGTGAGGTGCGAGAGAACGAGTTTTCGCATTCTAGATCCGCCAGAAAAATCGATTGGGATTTACGATTTTTACGCTGTAAGCAAGCTGAATAGCGACACCAAAATAAATTTTGTCCTTCACTTTATTTTATAGAATAACAATGGCGCAACAATATTTCATCGTTTTGATTTAAGGGTCCCAAATAAGCCTTATGTTGTTCTTAAATCCACCAGTGGCAAAAACCTCTACCTGAGCAGTGATGGAGCTGGAAACTTGAAACTGAAATCTTGGAACCTGCCCAAGAGGAGCCCTCCTGGTGCGAGCAAATACGTCGATCCAGCCTTCTTATTTAGGTTGGTTAAGACTTAGGGAGAGGAAAATACATTGCCAGTATTTTGTACGACAATATTTTAAAACATTTTTGCGTTTGTTTGGAGTCATTCCTTATACCTATATGAATAGGCTTTCCTGTTCGTTAGTTGATGACAATAGAGAGTTAAGCTTCACGCTTCCGGGAACGGCAAACGGCAACTTCGAACTTTCTTTTCAAAATTTTCGTTGAACGTTTCTGTTTCATATTTTATTTCTTGCATCAAAAGAATAATTATGTATTTCAGTTTTAGAACAGCAAGTTCATTTACTCTTTATTGCCTGATACCGTAATTTTTTCTTTGCCTGGCGTTTGCCGTTTTACTGACGTATAACGCGAAGCTTAAACTCCTTAATACAAGACAACCCAGAATCACTGAACATTTCTATATATGCAGTTGTCCTTTAGCAGTATGATTTGAGTAAACTTTTATTCAAATGAGGCCGGTGAGTAACCAGAAATTTTAATCTGTAGTTTAATATAATACAATTTTTGCAAATAAAAATCAGTAAGTTGAGTAGCAGATTTGCATGAGGTATATAAGGAGCGTTTCTTTTGTGAATCTAGATTTGGATTTTTAGGATTCGAATTTTGCGGATTCGTTAAACAAATGGAACGAATTGTGGGAATCGGAATTCGCCTGCTCTTTTCCCGCTACTTTTACAATAAGTTTTCTGTCCCACTATACCTTTCGGTCGGGTCAAGGTGCATGCTAGAAGGCCAGATGCTCAAAAGGAACGTTGCATCCTAATCAAGTTTCAGATTGAATCCGAAAAATCCATATGTTGATCAGAGGTGGATTCATCAGATACGAATCTACAGGGTGTATAAAAAAAAACTGAACAGATTTAAAATTGCTCTCAATTTCGCAAAACAGCTATTTGTATCCGGTTTTTTATATATGTAGTCTCTTTGGGTACTTATAATGTAGAATAATGAGAAAAATTTCTCGAACTCAAATTTTGTGAACCAGGGGGGGGGGTGTTTTTTCCAACAAAATAAAAATGGCTCGCGCACAAAATTTAAAAGCTGCAATCATATTTTGAGTTAACAGATGGACAATTTGTCGGGATTTTAATTACTGTACAAAATTTCAGACAATTTGGTTTAGTTTAAGCCCCTTAACTATTCACGCAAAGTTACAATTTTCCGAAAAATCAGCTGTTTGCATGCTTAATTATGCATTTGCCTAATTTGCATATGTCAGTAATATGCAAATTAGGTAAAGGCATTAATTAAGCATGCGAAAGGCTGATTTTTAGAACAAAATGAATAGTTAAACTAAACCAAATTGTCTGAAATTTTGTACAGTAATTAAAAACCCGACAAATTGTCAATCTGTTAACTCAAAATATGATTACAGCCTTTAAATTTTGTGCGCGAGCCATTTTTAGTTTGTTGGAAAAGACACACACCCCTGGTTCACAAAATTTGAGTTCGAGAATTTTTTTTCATTATTTTACATTATAAGTACCCAAAGAAGCTATATATATAAAAAACCAGATACAAATACGTGTTTTGCGAAATTGAGAGCAATTTCAAATCTGTTCAGTTTTTTTTATACACCCTGTATTTTAAGATTTTGTTAAACGAAACTGAAAATCGATAATCGGATTTGAAGATCCAAATCCGGATTACACTGAAGGAACGCACCCATATAGTTCAGTGTTTGCATGTGGAAGTACGTACAACTCTTTTTAAATTAATGTGTTTTAGAAGTAATATTTCAAATCCGAGTTAGTGTTTTAGACGTGGTTTCTAGATACAAGTGCCATGAACAATGGCGATGCGCAGCCAGCCATTGTTCATGGCACTGGGGATTTGGAAGCCAAGTTTATACACTAACGAGGATTTGAAATTGCTTCTCAGACATTATTAGATATTCATATAGCAATGAGGCATGAAATTATTAGATATTCAAAAAAGTGTGCGTGGGCATAAGGATTACATTCGCTTGAAAGTTTGCATGAAGTGTAACGAAGAATTCATGCGGTTCACTTTCGTTGTGAATAGATGAATTTTCTTGGCAAAATAGCATATGGCATCTTCTTATAAGAAAAAGCGGTTTCGACAACCGGGAAGTGTTGAGCACACGCAGTATTGAAAATGTAAAGAAAGCCACTCGCTGACAAGGATGGAGATCCGATATATCAGATTGTGCGTGCGATACGGCGCTAAATCTGGTGGAAAATGGAAGAGCCGCGAAGCGAATATATTAGACGGTAAATATTACTGATAAGTTGCTGTATTATTGCTGTAATGTTTAATTAAAGCGCGGTTTATTATGATAGTTGGTTGAAAAATAGTAATTTTTGTTTTCGTATATTTACAGTATGTAGTTTTCAAACGTTCAGAAAAAGTGATAGATATAAAGTGTTGTTAGAAAAAGGTTCTAAATACAGCTTACTGTATTTAAAAATAATTTTAAACATAGCAATTAAACATATTTGCATAATGTTTTGTTTACTCCCTCAATTTGCCTATTGTTCAAAGCCCTTCCCACTTGAAGCTAGTAATTATATTGACCTGGTCTAGACGGGGTATCAAAATAGATACACGTCATGTAAATTACACCATGTCATTGGCCGAAATGCTATGTTAATATCTAATGTGTGTGATAATGCTTTTTCGTGTATATACACGTATGTCTTCCCTGACTGACTTGAGTTTGCTTTCAACCACTTTGGCAGACATGCGAACACCGTTACAGATGGTAATTCCATGGTGTGTCTACGTCGTATATTGATTGTTCAATGATGCAGAACTCGGCCCCTCTTCGCTTGGTATAGAGAACAAAATTATTGCCTTCGGTTGCTTTAATGGTATCTTTCCCGACATAGCCACAATTTGACAATTTCTGTCGCGGTTTAATTATTTGATGGTATTCCAGGTGTATTTTTGAGGGTTTGTTCGAGGCTGTATTCTGGTCTTGACGTATGGCAGGTTGTCAAACGTGTATGTTGACTGTTATTGCATGGTTGATGTTTTTTCTCCACCATTATCGCGTTAGTGTGTCGGTTGAACCTAGGGGGCCCAACCTAGTGTAAAAGCTGTCGTTACTGTTGTCATTTCTTCCTGGCCAAGGATTCACTTATCTTGAATATCAATCTAAAGAGATTAAAAATATTTCAAAATTTTCAGAAAGGATTTTTCAATAAAATAGCTGCTTGTTAACTCTAAAAGTCATGATTTGCCGTCCTTCCCTTACGAAAAATTCCTATAGGAATTCCTTTAAGAATTTCTATAGGAATGTTTTAGGAATTCCTATAGGATATTGTATAGGATTTTCGGACTTTTCCAATAGGAATTCTTACAGGAATTTTGATAGGATTTCCTAAAGGAAATCTTTTAGGATTCTATAGAATTCCTTTAGGATTCTATAGGGATTCCTTTAGGATTGTATAGGAATTCCTTTTTGATTCTAAAGGAATTTCTATACACTCCTAAATGAATTCATATACCATCCTAAAGGAATTCCTGTACTCTATAGGATTATTATAAGGAATTCCTATTTGAATGTCCTGGCACTAAGCTGAATGCAAAGATGAGCAAATTATTGACAGTGCGCATATATTATAAATATTGACTTTATTTACAAATTAAAATATCAGTTTGTAAAGCACACAGTTTTTGTTTTTTGGGGCAACAAAAATAAACTATAGTTTTTTAAGCCAAAACCTATAGTTTTAAAAAGCTACAGGGGTATAGTATTTTGGAACAAAAACATATTTATGAAAACTATAGTTTTGACTAAAAACTATAGTTAAAAAAACTATACTAGTTTAGTTGAAAAACTATAGTTTCTGAAACAAATATTTTAGTATACCATGCATGCAGCACATCACCACCTAGCACATGAAATTTGTTCATCTGATAACATTATTTTATTAATATAATAAATATAACAAGCTGTTTACATAATAATAAACTATACAGCTAATTCAATTAAGGTTGTCTTTCCAAAACCTTAAGGCCCGTTTACACAGGGACTTTTGCTGCGATTTTCTTCTGATGGATGTGAAGAAGTGGATGAGTAATAAATGTACCAGGTTATGAAATTTCATAACAAGGTCATTAAGTAATCTACTCCTTCACATCCTCCAAAAGGAGAAAATTGCAGCAAAAATTACCCGTGTAAACGGGCCTTTAAGCCTTAAACTCTGAGCATGCAAGGGATGATGGGTTGGTTTTCAAATATTTGGCCCGTAATTAAACTTAGAGAATTGCCTTTGTAGGAATTGTGTTTTCTACTGTGCATCTTCTATGTCTCTTAGGCATTCTTGCAAAGCCAATTAACCCATTGAGTGGCGATGCACCCTACTTTAGTATTTTACTCTGTCTAACGCCAGACAATTTTACTCGTCAAGGGGAGAGCATTGGCGCTTATAATGGGTTAACTGGCCTATCTGCCCATGTGTCTAGTTAACCCATTGAGTGGCGATACACCCTGATGCACCCTACTTTAGTATTTTAATTACTCTGTCTAACACCAGAGTATTTTACTCTGTCTAATGCCAGACCATTTTACTCATCAAGGGAAGAGCACTGGAGCTTAATGGGTTAAATTTAAGAGTTTGTGAGTCTAAATAAGCAATAACCCAACATACTTTACTTGCTCAGAGTTTAAGGTTTACGTTTTTGGAAGGACAACGTTAGTGGACCTATTCCCCGATGAACAAAATTTGATCTAGACAAGTCTAGACAAAGCATTACAAAATTAGTAATATTCCGACGTTTCGTTGCAAAATGTTGTAAAATGCGGCTAATATATTATATAGCACTGCAAAGTTTCCCGTTTTTCAGTTATTTTGTATTACGCAAGAGAAATTGATACCTTTTTTTCAGAAAGCGCGGGTGTGATGCTCTTTCAAGCTGTGATGAAATTTTAGTCATAGGTCCATTGAATTAGCTGTATATTAAGTAAATGAACAAATAATTACTAAATATAATCAGCTGTTTGAATTAGTAACCCTATAAAATTATAATGTATAATTGTCAACTAATCTCAGTTTCTTGTTCAATTCATTGCTCTTCCTTTTCTGCTCTTTGTTGTCCAGCTTGAATTTTATTGCTTTTACAATGTCTTCTTTATAAACAGGACAGTTGATATTGTTGTATTTTAACATCCATGCATTGCATGTTCTAGAAAAATGGACAATTTTTCATGTAAGTTAACACAGTTTCACAATACAGTGCATCTACAGTAGGTGGGGCCACTCAAAGATCTAATCTGTGATCAGGCCTATAAATAAATAAATATACCTGATACAAATCTTAATTAACAAAAGTCCATGCCGTACAACTGTATTTCGGGTGTAAATCTGGTTGATCTATGAGACAGAAGATTTTTTTCTGTCATTTGATTGGTTGGCGTCAAATTGAATATACTATTGTTGTCGACATATATTATAGTGATCACAACTATAACTAGATTCTTGTTATCGTTGTGTAAAGTAAGTGAGGCATGAACCTTATATAGTTGAATACCATAGATGAATTTGATGGATATTTATCTATCCTACCTGATTGGATATAACTATCCAACATTTCTTGTATAATCACTCCTAAGGTATTAATAAGTGATACTACTTGGGCAAACAGTCCAGAGTCGATAAAATTGTCTCACATGAGACATATACATGTCAGAATTAAATATCAAAGTACTTAAAGTAGGGAGTGTTAGGGAAAATTGCCTTTCTTTTGCTCCCTTTAACTACTTTTTGCAAAACAAAAATGTCACTCCATTCTTTAATTTAAGACAAACCATACCATCTTAATTTTTAAGGTTGGGTTGCATGTATACCTCCTTTTGTATAAATAGGTGAATGGGCGAGCAGTCAATAAGTAAAATTGTCTCATGTGTGACATACAGTACGGCCCTAATGAAAGTTAACCATTCTCGCTCAATGCTATCGAGGAAAATGTTTCGAGTATCGAGATCTCGAAACTCCACTCGATAAAAATTCTCGCTCGCTCGATAGGCTTCGCGTTACTCGATACACAAGAATTTTGCGAGAAGCGAGAAATCTCGATGCAAACATTCTCGAGAGTTCTCGTAACAAGAAATCTCGATGCATCCATTCACGAGAATTCTCGCAGCGCTATATTAATGCGTGTAAAATTTTTCGCAAGAAGTAACGTTGCTTCGCATGTCCGTGCGAAAACACGAAGTAAACTGAAAATAACAATACACAGTCAATTCTTGACTGATCTTTAAGGACAACATTAAAATCCAGAAACATTAAAATCCACAATCAATATTTTGAAATAAAGACGAAATACAATCTACGAAAAATAAGTATTATTTTACCTTCAGCATCACTTGGACGTCACTTCCTTTGACCGCGATGACTACTTCATTTGCGCTCAGTAACTTCTCACGCGACACAACTAAAGCCTGATTTCCACCAGGCGGAATTTTGCGCGCGGAGCGACATTTTCCGCAGCCACAAAGTTGAAAGCATGCAGTTCAACTTTTTCAGTTTCCGCGCGGAAAATGTCGCTCCGCGCGCAAAATTCCGCCCAGTGGAAATCAGGCTTAACAGTGTCTTGTCAGCGTAAAAGTAAACTAACTAACTAAGTAAAACTTCGTCAAGTTTCTTGAAGACATCGCGTTCTTATTTCTATTTCTATAATATCTCTCAGAGCAGGCGCACCGACAGACATCAAAATAGTAATGAGCCTAAGACGCTTCAGATCTCAGTATAAATCAGACAGCATGTTTTTCACTGACATCATCTGTAACACTCTTTTGTTTTCGATAATCCATACGAGACAATAAGTTGTCGGTGGAGTTATTGTGGTTGTAAAGATGGTGCATGAATACAGTTATCCGTCACTAAATGCAATTAACCGAAGCGAACTAACATTATTTATAGCCTAGGGCTATAATTATATAGATTGCTTTTAGTGTATACATGCATGAGTCACATCGTAAAATTTTGGAAATAGTCTTATTTTCTATTTCTAACGAGCAGGTTGAACCGCTAATTCTAATAACTATATAATAGAAAGAGCGTGTTTTTACTGACACTAACATGTAACACTTCGAATAAACAGACGCTGATTTAACCAGGGAATTTTGTTTATCTCGTGGTTGGGTAAAGGCGAGTAACGAAATAATATAACTGCTATCACCCTATCACAGTTATATTTTTAGGGAACTGGTATAAATATATGTCAAAATACGTAACGTTTAAATTGCCATGCAAGGAAACAGCAATTATCATCCTACCGTATATTTCGCCATATGTTGGTCAAAAACTCTCGCTCGATTTCGCACGATACAAACAATTTTCGAGAACCCTCGCTCGATATCTAATTAAAGTCTTCGAGAACACTCGCTCGATATCAAATTTTTCGAGAACGCTCGCTCGCTTCGCGCTCGCATTCTCGCAACTCGCGATAACATCCGACGATAGTACTAACTCGCACGGGACGAATTTTGACAAACATTTTTCAAATTAATACCAAGAAGTCATAACCAGTAATTACATAAATATCTTTGCCATTTTTACATGTATAATCCACGCTTAGTTGACCATTAACCGACACAGTTATAAACAGTATATCAGACATAATTTATATTTTGTGATTTCAAAAAAGTCATGCCTTGTTGTTTTATGCAGAATGCATGTGCACGTCAGTTGGGGTATTAAATTGTTCGCGTCAAAATCTAGTAAAAATTGCCAAAATTAATCCCAAATTTCTCCGTTTTCCTTCGGTAAAATCTTTTAAAACTTTGAACATTTTTTAATATCGGTACAACAAGTGCAATATCCTTTTTTCTTAAAATTAAATCGAAGGGAAAATTTTTAATATTGATTTTTGACGTTTTCTAAATTTTCTAAGAAACGTATCGATTTATTTTTTTAAATTGAGGGGGGAAATTCATTATAGATGTATTATCTTTTATGCAAAGTTTTAAAAAAATTCACCGAAGGAACTTTTTAAAATGACCTGATAAAGACAAATTTTGAGCTTTATTCTAAGCATGCTGTTGCCATGACAACATATTTTTAACACAAAGGTAGCAATTTGCAATGTTCAGGAGAACATTTGTCAATGTGTCCAATAAATTTCGTCTTCACATATCATGTAAAGTAAAGAAACAAGAGTCTCCTGAATACTATAGTGTAGTAAATTAAAAAACCCTAGGGAGCCACCTTAATTGGGAGGCCCGTGGAAATTTCCATATTTTATGCCAGACTATATCTTATGGATATTTTGAATCCAAATCACAGAATAACAATTTGACCAGAAGTTCCACTCGAGCACTCGACAAATCAAAAAGCTGATTACTTGTTTAGAAAACACGAGCGACAAGATTTATAAAATCCTTGAAGAAAATTTGCAAATCCCTGATGCCAGAGAGAAGATTAAAATAGATCGATCTCACCGAGTCGGAAGGAAGCGTGATAGCAACCGTAAGCCGAGAGCAATCGTTGTGAAATTTAACTATTTTCGAGATCGCGAACATATTCGAATGAATGCCAGGAAACTCAGAGGCACACGCATTGGAATCGCGGAACAATTTCCCGAAGAAATCGAAAAGATTAGACAAA